AGGCTCTCTGAACCTCTCAGAGACTCTCAGAACCTCCCTGAAACTTTCAGAACCTCTCAGAAAGTGTCAGAACCTCTCAGCGGCTTTCAGAACCTCTCAGAAACTACCAGAACCTCTCAGAGGCTCGCAGAACCCCTCAGAAACTGTCAGAACCTCGCAGAGGCTCTGAGAACCTCTCAGAGGCTCTCAGAACGTATCAGACCTTCTCAGAGGCTCTCAGAACCTCCCAGGGGCTCTCAGAACCTCTCAGAGACTCTCAGAACCCCACAGGAAATTTCAGAACCTCTCAGAAACTGTCAGAACCTCTCAGAGGCTTTCAGAACCTCTCAGAAGTTGCCAGAACCTCTCAGAGGCTCTCAGAACCTTTCAGAAACTGCCAGCACCTCTCAGGGGCTCTGAGAACCTCTCAGAGGCTCTCAGAACGTATTAGAGGCTTTCAGAGGCTCTCAGAAAATCTCAGAGGATCTCATAGGCAGAACCTCTCAGAGGCTCTCAGAACCCCTCAGAACCTTTCAAAAACCATGAGAAGCTCTCAGAAGCTCTCTGGGGCTCTCAGAAACTCTCAAAACCTCTCAGAGGCTCTCAGAACCTCTCAGAACCTCTCAGAAACTCTCAGGGGCCCTCAGAGGCCCTCGAAGGCTCTCAGAAATTCGCAGAGCCGCTCAAAACCTCACGCAGGCTCCCGAAGGCTCTCAGAAACGCGAATAATCGTCAAACGTGGTTGGAACTCCTAGGAATCCTTAGGAATCCTAGGAATCCTCATGGATACATAGGAATTCCTACGAATCCTCTAGAATTCCTGAAGCATCCCCATGAATCTTAAGCAAGAGGGGTTCCTAAGGACCCCTGGGAATTCATAGGAATCCGTCGGAAGTCCTAGGAATCCTTAGGAATTCCTAGTAATCCCTAGGAATCCTTGGGAATTCCTGGGAACCGTTAGGAATTCCTATGGATCCTTAGGAATTCCAAGAGATCCTTAGGAATTCCTAGTAACCCTTTGGAGATCCTACGAACCCTTCGGAATCCCGATGAATCCCTAGGAAGTTCTAGGAACCCTTAGGAATTCGGAAAATCCTTGGGAATTCCTAGGAACCCCTTGGAAATCATAGAAATCCTGCGGAATTCCAGGGAACCCTTCTGCATTCATAGGAATCAATTGGAATACATAGGAATGCCTAGGATTCCTTAGACATTCCTAGAAATCATTCGGAACCTTTAGGAACCCTTCGGAATTCCTAGGCGCCCTTAGGAATTCCTAGGACTCCTGCGGAAGTTCCTAGGAATCCTGAGGAATTCCTGGAAATCTTTAGGAATTCTGGATAAGTTCCTAGGAATCCTTAGAAACCTCTGGAATTCGTAAGAATTCCTATGAGTTCCCGGGAATCCTCAGGAATTCCTGGGAATCCTTAGGAATGCCTGGGAATCCTTTCTAGAATTCTTGCGAATCCTCCGGAATTCCTAGGAATCCTTCGGAATTCCTAGGAACCCTTAGGAATGTTTTGGAATCCTTTGGAATTCATAGGAATCCTTAGGAATTCATCAGAATTCCTGAGAATCCTAGGAATCATTTGGGATTTCCAGGACTCCTCTGGAAGTCCTGGGAATCCTTCGGAATCCCGAAGAATCCTTAGGAATGCCTAGGAATTCCTGCAGAAGTCCTAGGAACCGTTAGGGAGTCCGACTAATCCTCAGGAATTCCGATGATTCCTTCGGAATGCCTAAGAATCCTACGGAATTCCTGAGGATCCTTAGGAAGTCCTAGGAATACTTAGGAATTCCTATGAATCCTTCGGGATTCCTAGGAATAAATAGGAAGTCATAGGAACCCTTTGGGATTCTGAAAAAGTCCCTAGGAATCCGGAGAAACCTTTTGGAATTCGTAGGAATTCCCAAGAATGTCTGGGAATCCTTAGGAATTCCAAGGCATCCTTAGGAATTCCTGGGAATCCTTAGGAATTCTTACGAATCCTCAGGGATTCCTAGGAATCCGTCGGAATTCCTAAGAATCCTCGGGAAATACTAGGAACCCTTTGGAAGTCATAGGAATCCTTAGGAAGTCCTCAGAATTCCTAGGAATCTTTGGAGATTCTCCTAATAATCCTTCAGAATTCCTAGAGATCCTTAGGATTTCCAGCTGTTGTGAGTGTTATGGGGGGGACACGGGTCGGGGCGCCCCGCTCTTACTAACAACAACGACAACAACAACAACAACAACAACAACAACAACAACAACAACAACAACACCCACACCCACACCCACACCCACACCCACACCCACCACAACCACAACAACAAGCACAACCACAACAACAACAACAACAACAACAACAACAACAACAACAACAACAAAAACGACACCAACAACAACAACAACAATCCACCACAATTACTAATAAAAAAAATAAAAAACAATATAAAAATAAAAAAAGATACTAAAATAAAATAACCTAAACTAAATACTATTTCTAAAAACTGTTACACTAACTACGTGGACACTCCGTTCTCACCAGTGCACGGGTTTTCATACGACGCCCGCCATACCCCCCCTTTGTGGGGGGGCCAGTTCAAGCTCTACCACATTTCCAAACGACTCTTCGCCACCACCCACACCCAGCTTCCCGCCCTATGACGTTCGGACACTTCACTTCGTGGCCTGCGGACGACCTTGGCTACTACACTGGCGCATGGGTACAGTGACTTGTTGTGGTAACATTTTCTGTAAGCTAGCTTAGTATACGACTTTTCCCCCTGTTCCAACACTGGACACCTGTACTGGTTTTTCGTGGTAACGTGTTCCTGACGCTAGAATAGGAAGAGCGCGCGGGATAAAATTTTGACACTTTTTTTGTTTGAAAAACCATTGGTTTTTTGATGTTTTTATGTTAAAATCGCTACGAACACTAAGGTTTTGGAAGGATTTCGTCTTGCGCGCGCGAATGTCCACTTTACCTTATTTTTTGCAAGGGATTCTTGAAGTTTGGTTATGTTAGAACAAGAAATGTCCACTTTGCCTTATTTTTTGCAAGGGAAACCGCCCGTAACAAAACAACCGGATCCGGACCAACCCGTTTTGCCAGAGACTTCCTCACGAAAATGATGAAAACATGGCTGCGGCCTAGGCGCGGCGAGGGGGCCGCGCACCAGGGGTCCCAACAATAATTATTCTTTAGAAGTAATAATGTTCAACAACAACAACAACAACAACAACAACAACAACAACAACAACAATCATTAAAGACTGGGGACACTCCGTTCTCACCAGTGCCAGGGTTTTCATAGGAGGCGGGCAATACCCCCACTTTGTGGGGGGGCCGGTTCAAGCTCTACCAAGTTTCCAAACGACTCTTCGCCACCACCCACACCCAGCTTCCCGCCCTATGACTTTCGGACACTTCACTTCGTGGCCTGCGGACGACCTTGGCTACTACACTGGCGCATGGGTACAATGACTTGTTGTGGTAACATTTTGTGGAAGCTAGCTTAGTATACGACTTTTCCCCCTGTTCCAACACTGGACACCTGTACCGTTTTCCGACGTTTTTCCGTGTCTGTACCACACAAGCGAAGACACTTATTTTGAATGGTACCACGTGCGTGGCGCCAGCATACCACAGGACTTGTTTCCGTTGTTGCGAGACGATACATGTTCATTATTGTTCTGTGGTTGTCGTTCCGGCCTCAATGTGCAATACTGGCTAACAACAACAACAACAACAACAACAACAACAACAACAACAACAACAACACCAACAATTACTAGCACGTGGGGGCACTCCGTTCTCACCAGTGCCAGGGTTTTCATAGGAGGCGGGCAATACCCCCACTTTGTGGGGGGGCCGGTTCAAGCTCTACCAAATTTCCAACGACTCTTCGCCACCACCCACACCCAGCTTCCCGCCCTATGACGTTCGGACACTTCACTTCGTGGCATGCGGACGACCGTGGCTACTATTCAGGGCACCGCGGCCGACGACGACGGCGTGCGCGCGCGAAGAAAAAACGAATGTGTCCCGCATGATATTATTTGACAGGGATGATGGCCCTGGCAGGTGCGCAACCGTTGTTGCAGAAGTTCGAAAAAGTTGCTCGCAAAAGCCCGTTTGACAGAAATGATTAAAAAGTGTTGGGTTTCCTACGAATCCGCAAGAGCGCCCGGGATGACATTTTGACATTTTTTTTTTTTTTGAAAAACCATTGTTTTTTTGTTGTTTTTATGTTAAAATCGCTACGAAAACTAAGGTTTTGGAAGGATTTCGTCTTGCGCGCGCGAATGTCCACTTTACCTTCTTTTTTGCAAGGGATTCTTGAAGTTTGGTTATGTTAGAACAAGAAATGTCCACTTTAGCTTATTTTTTGCAAGGGAAAACCGATCGTAACAACACAACCGGATCCGGACCAACCCGTTTTGCCTGATACTTCCTCACGAAAATGATGAAAATGAGGCTGCGGCCTAGGCGCGGCGGGGGGGTCGTGCACCAGGGGCCCCAACAATAATTATTCTTTAGAAGTAATAATCTTCAACAACAACAACAACAACAACAACAACAACAACAACAACAACAACAACAACAACAATTACTAGAACGTGGGGACACTCCGTTCTCACCAGTGCCAGGGTTTTCATAGGAGGCGGGCAATACCCCCACTTTGTGGGGGGGCCGGTTCAAGCTCTACCAAATTTCCAAACGCCTCTTCGCCACCACCCACACCCAGCTTCCCGCCCTATGACGTTCGGACACTTCACTTCGTGGCATGCGGACGACCGTGGCTACTATTCAGGGCCCCGCGGCCGACGACGACGGCGTGCGCGCGCGAAGAAAAAACGAATGTTTCCCGCATGGTATGATTTGCATGGTCTTATGTGACAGGGACGATTATTTGACAGGGACGATGCCCTGGCAGGTGCGCACCGGTTGTTGGAGAAGTTCCGAAAAGTTTGCTCGCAAAGCCCCGGGTTTTGATGAGAAATGTTTAAAAAAGTGTTGGTTGGGTTTCCTACGAATCCGCAAGAGCGCGCGGGATGAAATTTTGACATTTTTTTTTTTTTTGTTAAAACAATTTTTTTTAAATGTTTTTATGTTAAAATCGCTACGGAAACTAAGGTTTTGGAAGGATTTCGTCTTGCGCGCGCTAATGTCCACTTTACCTTATTTTTTGCAATGGATTCTGGAGTTTGGAATATGTTAGAACAAGAAAATGTCCCACGGTGTGAGCTTATTTTTTGCAAGGGAAACCCGATCGTATGATCTGGATGACATCGTTTTACCTGAGACTTCCTCACGGAAATGATGAAAACGTGGCTGCGGCCTAGGCGCGGCGGGGGGGCCATGCACCAGGGGTCCCAACAATAATTATTCTTTAGAAGTAATAATGTTCAACAACAACAACAACAACACAAACTCTTGAGCCTGCTGCAAACAAGACGACTGTGCGGAGCGCTAAAGCGAGAGAAACGTATGGAAAATGAGCCGTCCTTCGTCCTTGAAGCTGCGGCTAGCGTTCACAACGAATGCTCGCAGCGCAACGGCGAAAGCCACATTTTGAAGGTCCGCTCTCCATCCTTGAAAAAGTTACCGTATGTTACGACATATGCGCGACGCGACAAGGCAAGGGCCACAGTTTGAAAAGGACCTGCATTCCATCCTTGAAGATGCGACAAGCGCTTCAGACGAACGTGCGCGGCGCTAAGGCGAAAGCCACGCGTTGAAAACGGCCCGCCCCCCATCTTTGAAGCTGTTGCGGATTCCAAGCTCCATGATCATACATGGTGAGAATTTCTCAGGTTAAACGCCTGGCCCGCCCTGCCGCGCGGTAGAAAACTGTATCTCATCGGATCGATGCGGGCCCGGAATGCTGGTCCTGGCCTGGGGGAAACCCTGGGATCTGGGACCAGTTTCCCTCAGAACCCCTCCCCCCCTACATTTAGGTCGGGCGTGTCCTCTTACAGGCGGAGTTCGGCCAAAAAATTAAAAATTTGATTCAAAACCAAAACATTCCCCGACAATATTCAAAAATATTTGAAAAATGGTTCCCAGATTATTGTTGTGCGATTTTTGTATGTTCCTCCTGTAGAGAGGGACAGGCCCGACTTCAAACCCTACACGGCAAACTGGGAGGGGGGGCAAAAACAAGGGAAGAGGGGGTCACGGCCGGTTCAGGGCGAGGCGGGGCGAGGGGAGGGCGGGGGAGAGGGCGGGGGGGTGGGGAGAGTCGGGGGGGGGAGGGGGGGAGAGAGGGGAGGGCAGGACGAGATGAAAAAGGGGGAATTCCCCTTCCTTCCTCATCTCATCCGCCCTGCCCTTCCCCCCGCCTTCAACCCCCCCCTCCCCGCCCTCCCCCCCCCCCCTTCCACGGTGGGGGGGTGAGAGCGGGGGAAGGGGAAAGGCTTTCGGGAGGAGGGGAGGAGGAGGGGAGGAGGGGAGGAGGAGGGGCGGGGGGGGGGGCGGGAGGAGGGGAGGAGCGGTCGACGGGTCGGGGAAGGGGAGGGGGCGAGGGGCAGGGAGGGGAACGGCCCAGGGAGCAGGGGGCCCCCCAGGCGCGAGGGGGCGGGGGGAAAGACGGGCAGGTGGCGCGGCGGAGGCCCCCAGGCACGAGGGAGCGGGCCCCCAGGCACGAAGGAGAGGCCTCCTGGGCAAGCACGCTCCACGACTCGCAAAAAAAGCGCTCACAAATGGCCTGGATCCGCCGCGGGGGATCTGCGATGCGCCACGTGGATCGACGGCGACCCCAACGGGGAGCACGAGAAAGGGCGGGCCTCCTCAGAAGGCCCCGAGGAACCCCCTGCCTCCTGAAACGCTCTCTAAGCCTGCCCCCAAGACAAAGGAAGCTTCTCGGAAGGCGCGAGGGCTTCTGAGAAGTCCCCCCGCCTTCTGAAAGGGCCTTTTCCTTCAATCCCACCCTCGCTCGCTGCCGAATAGAGGCAGACATATGTTTTCGGACAGTGGCGAACAGGCAAACTGCCAGTAACGGAACGCGCTCGGTGAGTTCTCCAGAACCAGATACCGGACGTATCATCCTGAGCTGACCTCTGGCAATGCCGGGGCCCGTGGAGCCGCCCTGGCAGTGCCAGGGCGCCCTAAAATGGCGAACCCCCTGCAGAACCCGTTTGTCTTAGGACCCCTTTCCCCTCATCGCAAAGGTTGTGAATGCCATGACAATGGACAGACACCCTAACAATCTTAGCATTGAAGTAAACATGTGTTCAAAATGTTTGAACAGGTTCTGAAAATGCTTCAAACATGTTGCTTAAATGTCTGAAACATGATTAAAACATGTGCAAGACATCTGGTAACTATTTGGCAACACGCCTCCTCTCCGTCGATGGTCCTCCACAAGCGCAAGGGGCGGCAAAGAAGGAGGGCAGGCGGCGCCGTGCCAGGGCACCCCGGCGCCGAAGCCGACCCGACGGCGAGCGGAAGGGGGCGGTCCTCATCACTCGGCAGCCCCTCGAGGGCCACGTCGAGGGCCGTGCCGTTTGGCGTGGGCGGCGGCACAAACACGCCGTCGGCGTTGCCGTCGTCGCCGTAATCGGCGAACGCCGCCGGGTCGCCACTGCCCTGCCGCTGCGCGCAGGCGGAAGGGGGGGGCAGCGGCGACAACCTGCTCTGCTCAAGTGCCGCTGCTCCTCCGACCTCCACGGCCTCCTCCCCCTCCTCCTCCTCCTCCTCCTCCTCCTCCTCCTCCTCAACCTCCTCCTCCTCCTCCTCCTCCTCCTCCTCCTTTTCCTCAACCTCCTCCTCCTCCTCCTCCTCCTCCTCCTCTTATCCTCCTCCTCTTGCTCCTCCCTCCTCCTCCTCCTCCTCCCCCTCCTCCTCCTCGTCCTGTCCTCCTCCCCCTCCGCCTCCTCCTCCTCCTCCTCCTCCTCCTCCTCCTCCTCCTCCTGCCTCCTTCTCCTCCTCCTCCTCCTCCCTCCTCATCCTCCTCCTCCTGCTTCTCCTCCTCCTCCCCCTCCTCCTCCTCCTCCTCCTCCTCCTCCTCCTCCTCTCCTCCTCCTCCTCCCCCATCCCCTCTCCTTCTAAACCTCCTCATCCTCCCCCTCCTCACCCCCTCTAATTTCTCCCATTCCCTGGCTCCTCCTGCCAGTTTCGTCATCCCTCCCTCCCCCATCCTCCTCCTCGCTCCTCCTCGCTCGTCGTCGTCGTCCTCTTCGCACGTAGCTTAGAAGACGTAATCCCGTAGCCATCATTGCTCTCCACATAGTGCACAAGCTGCGCTGTGGCGGATCGCGAATGAATTGCCAGCACACTCTGGTATACCCTACACTGTCCTCCCTTCGTCAAGTTATATAGATAGAAATTCAAAACAATCGTTGCTCCTCTGTCATCGCTCGAGCCAATCCGAACAGAGGGTCTATGAACACATCGATCGGAACATCTGGGCACCAGACGGATTGAACGGCGTCCCACGGCAGCGGACACGTCATATAATGCCTTTGCGCGTCCATCGCATCAGGGCAGCCGAATGTGAGAGTTTTCTTAGTCGGCGTTTCGACATTGAGCAAAAAGAGGGCGGATGAGGGGGGTATGGCTCCGGACCTCTGCTTAGTGCAATTGTTTGCAGCAGTGCGTCCTATGGGGGAGGGACTCCACCTGCCCGAAACAGGCGCCAAAAACGGCCAAAATCTACTCCATAGGGGGGGGGGAATTGGGGGCCCGCCCCCATCGGCAAAACAACGAATAAAAAAACGATCGCGTTGCAGAGACATTCGGTCTGTTACACCCGCCTTTCCACCGTCCACTGGCCATCGCTCGGACGTCCATTTCCTGTGTTTTTTTCGGTTTCGTGCGTGGTTTTTTCGCGAAATGATCAAGGATGCTCCTCGATGGTCCTCTCTCCGAGGAAAAAACGCACACGTCCGAGCGATGCCAAGTCCACCCACCCGCGCAACGCTTTCAGGACCGAGCTCTGCCATGCAAGGGGCTTGATGCTGGGGCAGTCGCGAAGCAGCGGCCACGCACAGCCTGCGAGGACTTGCTTGGTGGGGGGGGGGCGGGCGCCCACTTTTCCACGCGCTTGAAAACCGTCGGAGCCTGACTTTCCTTACGAAGCGAGCCCTGAGCGATCTATGAGGAGGAGGAGGAGGAGGAGGAGAATAAGAACCTCCGAAGCCCTCCAGCGACGAGAGATCAACGTGCGGCGGGCTGGGGCGCGGCGTCCAGCACGTGCGCCGGCGGCGGCTCCGGCAGCCCCCCTGGCGCCAGCTGCAGCCCGTGGACGACCTGGGGAGGAGGAGGAGGAGGAGGAGGAGGAGAACCAGTGTAAACCAAAGAGTCATCAACGATGTTGGAACTAACCCTCTCTCCAAGCTCCCTCTTCATAGGCCCTACAACGGTTCATTTCCATTGATGGAACTGCTTCGTCGGAAGGCACCCAGTGAGGGAACTGCCTCGTCGAAAGACATCATTGAAGATCCTAAACATGCCAGAACATTGTTCTCGGGACTTCAACGCCACGGATTAACCTGGCTGCTGTGTCTTGACGATCCGGAATCGTGCCAGAACACCTTCAACACAGCGAACCAACATAACTGCTGCACCCGCGTAAGCCTGAATCCTTCCAAAACACCATTTCTGGTGGCGGCGCTAAGGCGAGGGCCACATTTCCCAAAACACCCGCCCTCAGTCCGTGAAATTCAACACATGTTTAAAACGAATGCACGCAGCGCTAAGGCGAGAACCACATTTTGAAAACCACCCGCCCTCGATCCGTGAAGCTCTTGCAAATGTTTAAACCGAATGCGCGCGGCGCTAAGGCGAGAACCACATGTTGAAAATCACCCGCCCTCCATCTGTGAAACTGTTGTCACTTTGTAAGCTTCAGAATCACATATTAAGGATGCGGAAGTCTCAGGCGAAACGCCTGGCCCGCCCTAAGAACTGGCCTCGGGGTGCGACAGGGAGAACTTATGCATGAGGAAAAGGAATGGAAAAGGAGGAGGAGAAGGAGGAGGACTCTTCCAGCTCCTCGCAAGTCCGCCGACCCCTTGTGGGTCTCTAGGCGT